GAAGATGCTCGGGATCGTCCAGACTAGTAATTAGTTAATTTGTTTATAAGACCATAACTTGTAAACTATTCAACTTACTGATTCGAGATTTCGTTATTAGACAGTGATAAGGAATGAGAGGATGCTATGCCAAAACGTTATGGTAAAAATATTGCAGTTTATAAATGTTTGATTCAAAAGTCATAAATAAACTTCTTCTGTTTATAACTTTTGATCTAATCAATATTTTTTGACGCTCGAGGGCTAGTTTTGTAGGTCTTTTGAAGACAAAAAAAAAAGTAGATAACTATTCTCTCGTAGAAATGAACGGAAAAAAGTTATAAGCGAAAAACGTGAATTTACGTAAAAATTATATAATTAACCACCCTGTAAATAAACTTCCCCTCATTTTTATGACTGTGGAAACTAATATGTTATTGTACATCATATTTAGCATCTATAGTGATAAATTCAGCTTGCCGAAACATAAAGTCGCAAAATGATAATTTCCTAGCTCTTTTTCCTGGCCTAAAATTGCAACAATTACACATTGCGTAAACAGGAGAATATTTAAATATATTTGTACGTGGAGTATAAATATAAAAAGTGTTACCTTCTCTTGAATTGACCCTCGGAATGTAAAAACTGAATTGATGGACAGTCAATTTGGATAATCGAAATTCTAAACAAGAATAGCAGTAGCACCTTAATCAGGACTTTTCAACGAATAGTTTAGAGCACGACTTTTTTTATGTAAGTAACACATATTTACAGGACTATCCACGAATAGTTCACGAAATCACCTTCGCGTAATTGCTGACCTTCCTTTTTGTAATGGGTACGCTTCGTTGAGTTCTAAAGGGACGGACTGATTGTCCAGGACCTCGTCGTTACCATTGAGGAAACTCTCGCCGGAATCTTCCTGAGGCTACCGCGAGTGTATACTCAAAATAATAACTGACAAGATTAGTTCATGTCTTCTTTAGAGGTATGTTTCAGAAAGGGCTTTGGGATTTTAAATAATACAGGGTGTTACAAATATTAGGTCAGGCTATTAACCACAGGATATTTGGGCGAAAATAATGGGACACTTTATACCGATGTTAAATTGAACGCCACGTTTTAGAGATACAGGGTGTAAAATTTAAAGTAAAGTTTAAAAGTGATTTTTCTTAGTAACGTCGTTTTTTAACATAGTGTCAAAATTTTGCATACATACTCCAGCAGCATGCAATATTTTAAAGATGTTTTTCAATGATTGGAAAAAGGTTTGCAATATTTTGAATGTTACTTTAATATCAAAATAGTATTGTAAAATTATTAATTTAATATTTAAAAATGTGATAGCCTCTAATTCAGTTAAATAAATCAAAATTATAATTTTTTATGTAAAACATTTTAAATGAGAAAATAATAGATTTTAGACTTAAAATTTAGCGAGTAATCCAATGGATTAGGTTTCAAACTCGGTTTGAAAACATTGCAGATTGTGTGAGTTGTATGGAATTAATTTCAATTGACTTATTTTTATTTAGTAAATAGTAAGTAAAGCAAACCTGCTAGCGAACTAGTAACTCCAAACGCTTATTTGTATTTCGCGATTCAAAAATTAGTTCAGTTCAGGTATTAACTACAGGTGGCGTCGTAATCGCCAATCCTAGCCGGAGCCAGGCAAGATGTTCACCATTTTCTCCATATTTCATCGATCTGTAAACTTGTGATTGTGTGTGTCGTGTATCTCTAAATATTTTCAACATTATTATCAGTGCCAGCAGTGCAGTCTTATGGGTTTATGGAGTATTTTGTCGGTTTCTTCTTCTTTTTTATTTTGCTGGTTGGTTTTAATAAGCAACTCATTTGGTCTTTCCTTCACAGGATATTCCATAAGCTCCTTACAACGGTTATGCCCTGGCCTTGAAGTCAGGTATTTCCTGTGTTCCCTGCGTTCTGTGCATATGCTTCATTTGCCTAGAGGCTCGCTGACCACACTGGGAGAAGTACCGCAGAAGGGCTCCGTGCAAATGAACTCTATCTCGGATCCCGATTTATAAATAAACGCCACATTCGTCGGTCTCCTTACCAGTGGTGTACATATAACCAAGTGAAAATGCTGTCTCTGAAGATGTGATTTAGGACCGGAGCTAGACAGTTCTCCCCCTACAGTAACAGTACGGGTAGAATTCCATCAGTTCCTGGTAATTTAAAAGGGTCAAAAGAATTTATCACCATCCTGACAACCTCCCAATTCTGCCGAGACTCAGTCGTTACCCTCTGTTTAGTGATCCCAGTCATGTTCATCTCCATGGTTTAATAACTTGGAACCTGGAAAGTGAGTATTTAGAAGTAGTTCCAAGTCTCTCTTCCAGTTTTGGTGTATTCTCCACTCGGTGTCTTAAGAACCCCGAGTTTTGCATTACCGTTTCTCAAGAACTGTTTTCTTTAAAGAGAAGTATGTGGAGTTTAGCACACTGTGGGACACTATCCTCACAGAACTTCCTCAATGAGTGTCTCTTCGCTTTCCTTATTTCTTTATTATACTCAGTGAGGGTTGCTTTATAAGCCTCCCATTCCTCTTGTCCTCTTTGCTCTATTAAATAGTTTCCTTTTCTGTCCCCGCAACTGTGTGAGTTCTTTGCTCCACCACGGTACGGTGTGCTCACTTTGATAAGACAGCTATATTCATATGATCTTGTGATGGCACTTTAGAGTTCCTCCACAGTCCTCGCAAGATCATACCTGTCATTTTATCGGTTTAATTAAAGGTAAGTAAAAAATACCCCATTTTAGGTCAATAGCAACGAACATAACCTGATTGTTAATGACTGTAATGGAAAGTTCAGCCAGTAGGTTTTAATACCTTTGGGAACGAAATTACCAGTTACCCGATCCATAGAAGTCATAGTTTTAGACGGACATTTGCAATAATATTTGTAGAAGAAGGAAAAGATGTTTTGAAGTTGAGGAGGCGTGATAGTTGGAACTCATTGACGATGGCAGGCATACAAGAATTATTTCAAAACGAAATCATGAAATATATTGATCCAAATTTTGCACAGAGAGTCAGCTAAGGAAGCAGTCTAATTGTAAACAAAGTCATTACCTCTGTTGGTATACGCCTACTTCATTGAGAGTACTGACAGTTATGTAAAAATGCTACTGACTGCCTAAAAACATGTGCCATACACTCGACCAAGCAAAGCAAAACAAAGTATCAAACTTATTTACAAACGACAATGAAATGCACTGCCAACGTCCTTCAAAAATCTAGATCGTTCACCGGCACGTTAGGTCGACAGGGCAGACATTAGGGTGACGGTAAATACGGATCGAATAAATTGATCGATGCCAAGCTTTAAATTAGAGGCAGACATGTACATGTTATTGTACGATGAGACTTAGAGCAACAGTTGATTATGTTCTACAATCGCTTTCCTTATGAGTAAGAAGTTATTATATCGACTGCTACTGGTAATTATTTTACGTACTATATTTTGCATATAGAATGAAGTTACAAGAAGGCAACGGTTCTGTCATTTTTTGTTTGAGTAATATTACGTTAACAGATAACCCTGCCTACAACCAACCCTGTACCACATTGCCGCCCTAACATTTCCGATCTCTAGTTATTATAAAAGAAACAACTGTTCTCTTTTCAAATGTCTTTAGTTGCGAACATGTTAGGAATACTTCTTAAAAAGACGCTGTGTCGAGATATTTATCATCCCCGAAACATGCCTTATTGTTATTTTTTGGGTATTACGCCCTCCTATATCTAGCAAAATGAAAAGATCGCACGCCCTGAAAAATGAGCTTTATAGGCGATTCATGCTTTCGGGGCAGTTGTAAATATGCGCATATGTTGCGGCAGAGACTCTACGCTTCTTGGTTTATATTATAAATAAGTGGTGAGTTGCGAAAAATTATTCAACTCGACTCGCAACACAGAGAGCACATCACATACTATAATGATATATCGTTACTGTGTTAAAAAGTTTTTACCCGGCACATGGAAGGAGAAAATGGAAGCAGTTTATGGAAGTACGTTCAGAGTTCAAGAAACTTGAAAAATTGATTTCTATCGAAAAAAATTCACCATTGGAAATATCAATTATTGCATTTTTTCATGATTTTTTTTTCCGAATTGAAAATGTTAACTTTAATGCACATAATGTTTTACAATCGTATCTTCAAACAGTGTTGATATACAGGGTGTCCGAAATAAATTACAAACTTTCAAAAAATGTTTTTTTTTAATATTCTAAATTTAACTTTTTAAAATATTTCAAAGAAATTAGGTGTAGAATGATTTTTTTTAGGAATTGAGATGCTAAATTCTTCTGCAATTTCTCTGACAGTCAATCGGCGATTTACAGTCACAACACCTTTGACTTTCTGAACATGGTAGTCAGCAGTTGAAGTCGAAAGACTTCCTGCTCAAGGTTCATCTTCAACTGACTGACGACCACCTTTAAATCATGAAAACCATTCATAACGTAGCAGCAGTTGAAGCCGATTGACTTCCTGGTCAAGGTTCATCTTCAATTGACTGACGACTACTTTTAAATCATGAAAACCATTCATAACATAGCAGCAGTTGAAGTCGAAGAACTTCCTCGTCAAAATTCATCTTCGGCTAACTGACGACCACCTTTAAATCATGAAAACCATTCACAACATAGTAGCAGTTGAAGTCGAAGGACTTCCCAGTCAAGGTTCATCTTGAACTGAATGACGACCACTTTTAAATCATGAAAACCATTCATAACATAGCAGCAGTTGAAGTCGAAGGACTTCCTGGTCAAGGTTCATCTTCAACTGACTGACGACCACCTTTAAATGATGAAAACCATTCATAACATAGCAGCAGTTGAAGTCGAAGGACTTCCTGGTCAAGGTTCATCTTCAACTGACTGACGACCACCTTTAAAACATGAAAACCATTCATAACATAGCAGCACTTGAAGTCGAAGGACTTCCTGGTCAAGATTCATCTTAAACTGACTAACGACCACCTGTAAATCATGAAAACCATTCATAACATAGCAGCAGTTGAAGTAGAAGGACTTCCTGGTCAAGGTTCATCTTCAACTGACTGACGACCACTTTTAAATCATGAAAAGCATTTGTAACATTGCGTACGACCCAGCGCATCAACTCCGCAAGCTTGCTTCAAAAATTGAAACGTTTCCGTGAAAGTTTTCCTTAGTTTCTCGCAAAATTTTACGTTGTTCCAGAAAAACGCACATCTCAAAAATGAGATATCAACAATCCAAGAACATTTGGTTACAGAGAAAGTTATGCGTAAACCAATGTTGCCAACCGCATATCACTAAATATCTTCATTAGTGCGTCCAAAAAGTTCGTCAGTGTAATTAACTTAAAATCCTCAATACAGTTCTTGGTCCAGTTTAATGAAACATTACCTACAACGTAGGTAATTCGCGCTCTTAATGTTCTACTCCCAGAAACTGTCATTTTAATATTTCGGTCCTTTACGAAAGCAATAGATTGTTTCCCTTTAAATAATTTGGATAATGCGTGGCAGTTCTTGATTTCGGAAAAACTTTTGAAACTTAATACCAAGAATGTCCACAGTCAGTTGGTCATATTCATCTGCTATCTCGGATTTCAGTCAGTCAGTGAGTGCTTCCTATAAAATGCTGAATAAAATCTTAAATATACTTCAGTAAAATAGAATAATTTAGTAGACAATTCCCAAAATAGTTTTCCAATACTATTCAAGGATGGAATTGGCACACGAAGCCCATAAATAATATATAATTGAGAAGAAGGTTGAGATTTATGATACATTAAAGTATCTCTTAGAACAAATGTCAAGAATGTTTACCGAAATATATTAAAAACTAATAAGTACTAATAAATCTTTTTTAAACTTGAAAAAGGCAACACATTTATTCCTTCCTTCTGTCATGGTATGTCAATTATCAGAATATTGATGACTGACAATCAACAGCTGACACTTTCGCTCAATCTTTAGTGAAAATTTCTCACTTCGCGTTACTTTAAAATGTAGTGCCTCTTTGACTTTTAATACCATTCCATGTAAATGTTTAATATCACTTTCATGTTTCTAGGCTGAAGATGTTTCAACCCCAATACTTTTTAACGCTTGATGTGACATTGTATTTAAAGTTATATTTCTAACAATTTTTTATAGATTTTTTTCTGTGAAACTTGTGATTTTAGAGTTATTCTCAATTTATTCAAATGTAATAAGCCTATTTTAAATTTAAAAAAGTAGTCATTCGTAACTCAGTAATGGTTCGTTTTCCAAATAAAATAGGAAAGAGTTTTTTTAAAATGCATTAATAGAATTTTGTAAATACTCAATGGCGTCGACATTCTGATATTTTTAGTGGACATATCCGCGAGTGACCTAAGTAATACCATATTTTCACTTTCAAACGTTATATTTTTTTAATTTTAACACGTTATTGTCAAAAATTAAGTTGTTTCCGATGAACTTTTTTCTTCAAATTGATCCAAGGAATCATGATTTAAAATATTAAGTTAGACCCTGAATTTTTTAATTCTTAATTTCACTTTCAAATACACCATTTAATAATTTGTTCATATTCACTTTTGCATTCGCAATCGCCAATATCAAGTAGAAATATTTGCATTCACATTCGTAATAAAAAATATTGAAAATTTAATTTCAAGAACGATTCTACCTGCAAATAGTCAAAATTAACTACAACTATTTGTCTACATCACATACAAATCATTTTTAGTCCAGATGGTATCTGTTTCAAAGAGTCCATTTTTGGCATTTTAGCTTTCAAATATCACTAGAAATGAAACTTTTTCTATGTGCATAAAAAACGTGGGCTTAACTTTTGGCTAAGATAATTTCTCATTTGCTTATATTTCATAATTTCTCATTTGTTTATATTTTAAATAGTAAATAATATTTGAATTATACTTTAATCACAAAAGAAATTATGATTAAATTAATAATTAATTGATTAATTAATTAATTACTAATTTTCGACATATTTTGAAAATAATTGTTGTTTAAACAATTTTAGAATATTTAAATAAATTTGTTTTTGATCTTTGATAAACAGTATATAAGTTTATGCACTTACCTTTGATACAATAAAAAAATAAAGTTGATAATTAAAGGAAGTTTGAAGATAAATAATTATCGTACTGTTGAAAGACCAATTATTAACGATAGGCATTTGAAAATACGCTAATTGTTTTTTTTTAAATCGCGAAACATCGATTTAAAAAAAAATCATCAAAAGTGGACCTCTAGAAACTGAGATATTAAACATGTTTAAGCGTGTCGCGGTTTTGAACTCGCCGATTCAATTTCGAGTAGGCCGAAGCGGCCGCGCTCTCTGCTTCCCCCATCATCACCACTCGTACGATTTTCTTGAATTTCTCTCTTGTATAAATAACTTTAAACGCGTTTTAATGTAGGTTGCCAATGAAGAAAAGTATTGCAAACTTAGACCAGGTAAGTACTCAGAATACCAAAGATACTCGTATTTTTCGAAAAATTAGCCCGGGTGTCCCAGTACATTTAGTGTAAACGACGGTTAACTTTGATCGGCTATAACTACGTAACTAATTGACCAATCGATCGTTTTTTTTAAAGCAGCGTCTTTCCAATAACTTTTAAAACCTGCTTTAAAAAATTTGATTTGACTGAATATTCACAAAGTTATTCTAATTGTATATAAGTATAAAAATTCGATCAATGTTTAAACAAGCGCCAGAGCTCACCTAATTGACGAATTCGAATTTTTCAAAAAGCGTTTGAAAGCTTGAGAGCCCTTCTATATGTGATTAAATTTTCAAGTATCTAAAGGCCTTGGTTTTTACTGTGCAAAATTTTGAAAATTTGCATTATTTTTTCAAAATCTGGATTGCAGAATTATTATGCAAAATCTATCGAACCGATTTTGATGTAATTTGGTGTGATGATTCTACATAACATGAACTTTTCTTGAGCCAAGTATGAAGGTCCTATACCCAACTTAAAGACCCCAAAATATTCCCTAAAAAGTAATGTTTTTTAACCCCATTCTTGGCGATTTTTTCGATTTTTACAATAATAATCATGATTCATTCGATTTGTAACTAGTCATATTTTGTAAAATTTAATTACAAACATTTTCTTTCTCTTTCATTTTCACCTAAAATCAACTCTTGAAAAGATACATAATTAAGTAGGAAGCAAAATATGAAATTTTTCGAATTTCTTTAACATATTGTGCCGCCAAAAGTTAAGCCTACGTTTTTTTTATGCGCACAGAAAATTTTTTATATCTAGTGATATTTGAAAGCTAAAAAGCTAAAAATCTCCGTGGATATACGATTCATCCAAACCAAAACAGATACCGCCTAGTCTATTTATCTTGTATTTTGTAGTTCAACCATTTTCTCTGACACAGGCAATCACATGTTCTGCTTCAAGCAGTTTGTGAACTAGACTAAACCCATCTTCTGCTCCCTGCTAATAATATTATTCGAAGGGCAGAATACAAAAAAAACGGAAAATAATGTCCCTCATATGAAAGCGCCAAGCCAACTGTGTACTAAAGTATAGCTTTGTTGCAGACAGAAGTACTCCTATTCCTCGCCCACCGGAAGAAGAAGACTCATTTCCGGTGTTGCACGAAAGGGAATTACACTCGCTACACCGGAATGTCCCGGCCCTGAGGAGGAGGGACATGGACACGGCCACTATCAAGCAACACTACTACCCAGAAGGTGAGTGGGGAACGGTTGGTGTGGAAATTTATGAGCCCTTCGCAACTATTATACTACACTTATGTTCTCGATAATCAAATTAGTGTTTTGGGAGGCAATGGGGTGTTTGTTACCTTCTCAGATATTACCATAAAATAAAATAATGTAGCAAAAAACTTATTTTTATATTTGGTGGACATTTGCGCCGTCTGTTAATAGGGAGCTCAACTAAAATCTTAAATATCTGTTCTTTTATTTACTAATAAAGGGACAGAGAGGCGTTGCACAAATAAAAAGTTTTCTGTAATAACATCACACGTCATAAGTCGATACCTATGACGTACAATTGGAACAAATTTTTTTAACCACAGAGCACCTAGAGTGTACGTTTCCTATCCCAAAGCATGGGAGCCGATGAAGCCAAATTGCTGTGAAGTGGAGTGTGCGAGGTAATCTGTTCGCGCATACTTTGAACAGGTCTGGCTGCAATAATTTTACACTTACATGACAAATGACAAATATTAATTTTTCAAGTTTGGAGTTCAGAAAANAAAGGTTATCATATTTTTAACAGATAAGAGAGATAAATACAAATAATTTATAATGTAAAACGTAAATAATCACACAATCTGAATCTTCATGCTAAATGGCTGTAATTGCATATTTGAAAATAACTTTTAATTCAAAATAACTTTTCTTTATAACATTCTTCTGTATTGTCAAAAATAAAGGTACTTTACTCTTGAGCAAAATTCATAATTTCTGATATACCTCGTATATGACTGGGAAATTTTGATAACTGAAGGTTTCATTTTAGATTTTAGACCATGCAGAACTTTTTATGAAGAATAACTTTTTTTCATAAAACCAATAATAAAAAAGTTTTCCATATGGTTCCAACTTAAGTAGACACACTGTACTACACTTATGTTCTCGATAATCAAATTAGTGTTTTGGGAGGCAATGGGGTGTTTGTTACCTTCTCAGATATTACCATAAAATAAAATAATGTAGCAAAAAACTTATTTTTATATTTGGTAGATAGTTGCGCCGTCTGTTAATAGGGAGCTCAACTAAAATCTTAAATATCTGTTCTTTTATTTACTAATAAAGAGGCAGAAAGGGGTTGCACAAATAAAAAGTTTTCTGTAATAACATCACACGTCATAAGTCGATAACTATGACGTACAATTGGAACAATTTTTTTTTAACCACAGAGCACCTAGAGTGTACGTTTCTTATCCCAAAGCATGGGAGCCGGTGAAGCCAAATTGCTGTGAAGTGGAGTGTGCGAGGTAATCTGATCGCGCATACTTTGAACAGGTCCGGCTGCAATATTTTTACACTTACATGACAAATGACAAATATTAATTTTTCGATATTTACAATTATTATTTTTAATAGCCATCATGAAAATAAATATCTATTGTGACAAAAGAACTAATTGTAAATAGCCGGTTGATAATATGAGCCTGTATATTTACGTCAGTTAATAACGTGGCACTAAAAAACATGAAGCCAACACTGGAAATAAGTGCATGTGAGATGGAGAATCCTGCGCGAACCCCGTCGAAATTGCATAAAATATTTTTATATTATTACTTACCTAAAGAATGAAATTTCAGCACTATTGTTATCAGATCTACTATTACAATCGTCAATGATACACTGCCCCATGATTGCACAAATAAAAATATATTTACTAAAATATTAACAATGTTAACACAGCGAATGTCTAACAGCGACTGAGAGCGCGAGGCTGGCTGGGCTGAGGATGGGCTGACGGTTGGCTTCACCGGCTTGCCTCTACAGTTGTCTATTTTGTCTATGGTTTTAACCTTCTTTGAAGCATCGTATTCAGTGACAAAGCACTACACATTTGATACAAACACCCCATTGGAACAGGAGTTAATTAAGTTTTCAGTTAAATGTGTATAAAGTGTATTTGGATTTTTTTTCAAATAAGGTTTTAATTATAACGTAAAGGTATTAATACATATTTTATTTTTTTAAAAGCATTACGTTAATTTCAAATATTCAAGAATATTCCTAAAAATCCTATCAATGAAATCAAACAATGTTCATAGATACCATAGGTTCGCCAAAGATATGTAGCCTGATGATAAGTCGAAATAAAAATTAAAAATGATGTCTAAATCTTATTAATATACAGGATGTATCTAAAGAGTCTGTACAACGCTCCAACAGATATAGTACGACTCAAAATATGTCGATTTAACTAAACTTGCCTTAGTCCAAAAATTGATAATAACAGAGTTATAGGGTGTCTAAGTTGAATAACTAAATAACATTTTGTTTAATATCTTTCGACTATTTCGAGCTAATTTGGTGAAATTTCGTATCCAGGGTCTTTTTGGGATGAGAATTTATTGATGATTTCATTGTATCTTCTAGAGGGTGTCACAAGCGACCATTAGGACGCATTTAAATTGCCAACATTTTTTTGTGCCACGGTGTATTTCACATTGGGCTGGAAAAAATTTTACCTTGCCCTTGCCATCCATAAAGCCAACCATTTAAAAAAAAACATTTAAATTTGTAAATGCATAAAAAAATTCCCTGTACCATACTTGTAGCTACTTACATTATAACTGAAAATAAACCCAAATATGTTGGAAGAATAAATAAGAATGTCTATTTTTATAAAAATATATATAAAAATATTATATTATTATTCTGTATTTTTATCTTATTTTATTTTATTTTCCAGGGGGATGGGGTTGGTTGGTGTGCGGCGCAGCGTTTTTGGCTCACCTATTAACCTCCGGCATCCAGCTAGCATTCGGCTTGCTCTATCTGTACACCATGACGTCCCTTTTGCGGAAACATCCCGATAAGGAAATCTACGCCATGGGTACCGGTAGGTACATTTATTTAATGTGGCTCTGAAGCCAAGAGGACTTGGAAGTTTTATATTTTAGTTGATTTACTTAACGTTGTCAGTCAGTAAAACATTTTATTACAGCGTGATGCATAAGAGATAACACACACCGACAAAATATTACTGACACCTTAAACCGGTAATGAGACTATACACCTCAGGGTTAGACGTTTTGGAAATTATGGAAATTATTTGGAAACTATTTTTTATTTGATAGGTGGTCCAATTTGGAAGTTTTTGGGTCAGAATTTTTATTAAATGAGTGATTTGGGTACAAAAAAAATATTTTTTAAATGTCTACATTATTTTGCCACCCATATTACAATAATAATTAACAAAGTGCTAGTAGTCACTGATTTTGTACGTTGACTGTAATTTCAGTTTGATCTCTAAGTCATTGTACCTGCCAATTCTTAATGAGTGTTTACTACGATAAGATATACACGTTACTTCATTTTTCGATATGGATACACACATACGACGAATTAGAGTTATTTACAACGTGCCTAATTTTATTGAAATAATTCGTAAAAACAATCAAATACAATAAAAAATGCTGGAGATAAAAGTAATAAAGTTGATGTTATTAAATTTAGTACAACTAACTATATAAACTGTTCAAAATGACCATCGTTGCTTCTACAACAAAGGTTAATTCGGCGAAAAGGACACCCTTTGCAGTTCTTAACGGCTATTTTTTAAAACATAAACATTTATGGCATTTTGGATATGCCTCCATAACTCTTCTTCAGTATTAGATGTGGAAGCATGCACTGTTGTTTTCAGAGTGCCCCAGAGATAATAGTCGCAAGGTGTTAAGTCTGGTAAAAGTACAGACCAGTTGACAGGAACATTATCCGATCTACCGATCCATGGACAAGGGAATCTTTGGTTTAATACTGGCAGACGGTTACAGTGAAATGTGGTGGAGCGCCATTATACATATACCACATGTTAGCTCAGGGTAATAACGGCACATCTTCCAATAACTCTGGTTTTGCAAAAATTCTAAATAGAATTCCACATTCAGTCTATTGGCTAGAATAACAGGCCCAATAATAATGCTATCAATGACCCCAGACCAAACATTGATGCAAAATTCATGCTGATAGTGTTTCACTTTGACGGGTATATGTGTTTTGACGGTTATAGGTGAATTAGCCTAAATCTGTCCATTTTGAGTCCACGAATCTGTAGTCTTCTGTTGTACTCGTTACTCTGGGACACCCTGCATAACCAGTAATTATATTAATGCTGATTTTGTGTATTTTACAAAAACCATTATCGATGCCGTACCTAAATACTTTTTGTTAAATATAATATGCACAATTTTAATAACAAATTCCATTGTTATTACACTAGGGGCCCGTTTTTCAATCTCTGGTTAACAAATTGTTACTTTTTGTATTGGAGCTGTCAAAGAAAAAAAAATTGAAAACGAATTATAAATTCATTCCTTGTTAAAAGCTTGCATGTTAAAAGAAAATTGTTGCTTCTCCATTAAAACATAAGAAAATAAAGTGATGGTTAACCTTACGTTAGGAGTTAACCAACGATTGAAAAACCGGCCCTAAAATGAAACCTAAGAGTTTAAGAAATCTTAATACTAGATTCATTCGGAATACAACTTTTCAATGTCAATTAAAAAATATTTAATAAAGCCTGCTTTTTATACTTTGAATGAGTTTTTAAAAGGTCATTTTAATAATAACACAGGGCAACAAAATTTGACGAAAGATCACACCCAAAAATCAGACCTCACTTGCCTAAAGGTTTTTGTGGCGCAGAATCCAAATTCGGCGTCAGAATTGCTCTTATACGTCACGTTTCTGAGATATCCTAACCTAAAATTGTAAAAAACAGTTTTTTTGCTATATTTGAGCTTATATCACAGAGTGATTTTTTTTATCTAAATAACCTGCGAGTGCTACACCCCAGACAGGTTGATTTTGCAGTAGCAAATCTCAGAATCCTAAAGTGATAGAATAATTTGGAGGTCAGATTTGGATTGAGCGACCCAAAAAATATGTAAATATCCGCTTTCTGAAGAACATTTTCCAATTTTAGTACCTACCACTGTTATGAAAACGCTAAAGAACCTTCAATTAATGATATCTCGGCGAATAAAATAGATTTTTCAAATCTGAAAAAAGCATTTTGAAGGGTAAGAGTGTTAGTTTTAGAGAGCATGATTCGTTTAAAAAGAATTGCTCTGTAGTATAAGCTCAAATATAATAAAAAACCTGTTTTTGTTCTTTTAGGTTAGGATATCTCGGAAACGTGACGTATACGAGCAATTCTGACGCCAGATTCGGATTCTACGCACCAAAAACCTTCGGGCAAGTGAGGTCTGGTTTTTGAGGATGAAAATTGTTGCCCTGTGTAATCTTCATGAATAGTATTAATATTTTTGTTCAACGTATCGTTTATAAATGAACTCACATTTTATAATTTAATATTATTGTAATAACACTGGTAAACACTGTTTTTGTCACACGAACTTTGTGATGATTTTTATTTATTTTGATGTACCCTCATTCAAAAATAATTATTATTTTGTTTCAGTCACATCCAGTTTTTTTGTGACAGCTATATATTTATTTCTGACCTCATTTACGTGTTTTTGTTTGAATAACTTAATTTAGGCGACTGTATAACGATTGCATTTAACTAACTTACGTTTGTTACATTGTAAATATGCCGCGAAAGTGTTCTAATAACCCGGACAGTTTTTGTTATGTGTGTGGAGAATTAACTTTTATATCTCAGCGTCGGAAATTTACGCCATTAATTGAAAAGTGCTATTTAGACTATTTTGGTTTTCCTGTGCGCCACCAAGATAAATCCTGGGTTCCACATATATGTTGTGTAACGTGTGTAAGACTTCTATTAGGTTGGGCTAAACAAGAATCTAGACTAGACATTTGCCTTTTGGTATACCAATGATTTGGACGGAACCAAAAGATCATGTAAGTGATTGTTATTTTTGTTTGATTCAAACAAAAGGCGTTACAACCAAGTCCAAACACACTGTCCAGTACCCAAACTTGTCATCGGCCAACAGACCAATCCTACATAGTGCCGAACTGCCTGTGCCAAAACCTCCAAATCAAGCAGAAAGGCAGGATTCTGTTCCTAGTCCGGAATTTGTTCTTAGTCAACACGATGAGGTATATCAAGAAAGTGACCCAAGTTATGAACCGTCAACTTCAAAAGTCACTACACAAAGAAAGTATGGCCCAGGCGTCAATCACTTACTCCAGGGCAGAAGAATGTTAAAAATGATCCTTTAGTGAACCCTGACGACATACTTTTACCACCGTTGCATATAAAGCTCGGCCTGATGAAAAATTTTGTAAAAGCTATGCCTAAGGATGGCAGTGGATTCTTATACCTGAAAGAGAAATTCCCCAAACTCAACGAGGCAAAAATTAAAGAGGGAATATTTGTTGGTCCGCAAATACGGCAACTAATGAAGGATACAAACTTTGAAGGAAAGCTGAAATGTTTTGTGAATGTTGTCCAAAATTTTCTAGGAAACCATAAAGCGGAAAATTACAAAGACTTAATCAATGAGCTTATAATTTCATACAAAGCTTTGGGATGTAATATGTCTTTAAAAATACATATGCTGCACTCTCATCTAGATTTCTTTCCCGACAATTTGGGTGCTGTGAGTGACGAACAAGGCGAGAGATTTCATCATGACATTTCCTTAATAGAAATGCGCTATCAGGGGAAATGGAGTCTAGGAATGCTAGCAGATTACTGTTCGAGACTTAAAAGGGACCCACCAGAAGCCAAACATTCACGAAAATCATAGCTATTTATTGTACATTAAGGAATATTTTTTCTAAGTGTTAGTGATTTTTGTACTTTTTATAAAAATATCTGTCTTGATGTCACAAAGAAACCTGATGTGTCAGTTTTTTTCCATTGATATATTATTGTTTGGTGGCCATAGTACATTCAAAATTTGGTATAAGTTTTCGTGTGACAAAAAAAAGTTTAAATTTTGTTGACCAGTGTAATTAATGTACTTTGCCTTAGTTTGCATTTTATTTATTTGTAAGTTGTGTTTCTCCTAACTGTACATTTTATATTGTTATTTTTCATTTTCTGTACACTATTTTGAATTATGTTTATTTTTGTGGACGTGTGCAAACACATTGGCGTATTGAATTAGAAAAAAAAATATGTATGGGCCACCATTGACCCCTATTTTAATTTTTTGCGGAACAGTGCTTACCCGTATACCTACCACAACGTGTGAAGGACGTAATGCCGAAAAGCAATCAGTAATTTATGGGGGTAGAGATATGATCGTTTATCACAAACGTAGGCACGCAGTCATTGTGAGGCAAATTGGATGAACGTCGATTGTCTTTCCCCCGTTACGGAATAATGTTCTAGTAAGCCCTATTCATTACAATCGCTGTTCGGGAATCGTATTTCTTATGCCGTGGTCGTTAGGGATAATCAAAGTAGACTTAGGTACATATGAAAAAACCTTGCCTTGTAATTTATTTTTCTTTGAAAAATATAGACCCTACTGTTTAGAAGTCGTTGCTGAACACTGCGGAACCGGTATTGAAAATTCAAATTTAATAGTTTTATATCTCTACAGATTTTTCTTTCAGAATTTCCTGATGCTTGCAAGTTCTTCATCATTAAAACCTGTTTTACATTATCAACTTTTTACTCATTAAACTGTAAGACGCTGAATTAACGGGAGTTAAGGGGTAGATAATTTTCTTATTTTTTTAAAAGGTTGAGTAAAAATTTTTTTCAGATTACCTATCTTTATTAGGCCTTTCGAATACGTGGTTAAAATTATGACTGAATCACCCTGTACAACCTAATAATCGATTTTTTTCATGGAACACCTTATACAGTGTGTCCCGTTTTTCAGGTTAACACCTTTGGAAATGTAAGAAAGCTGTGCCATTTTTTTTACAAATAGTACCCTAAAGGGAGAT